TCGCTGATATCGTCACAGAAACGAGAGAGATCATTCTCTGGAGGTGAGCACACTCTCTATTCAGCACCATTCAGTTCCGCCTCAGACATAAGCTGTCGAAGCCCGTTTGCTATGCATTGTGGGTGGCCGGCGTCGTCCTCTGCTTCATCCCATTCTGGATTGTCGTAATGGCCGCTGGTGTTGGTATTATCTGCGCCAACTCCCCATTGAAGGGGCTTAGTATTGGTCTGGCTAAGGCGGCGGCTCGGTAGGTGGCTTTAGATTTGAGTAGCCTTTTGTAATAACGGTGGTATTATCAGGCCTACACCTACTGGTGATGTTGGCCTGCTGGATGCTATGGAGGAATTCCATATGTCCGAGGAGTTCAGGAAGCAGGCAGCTAAGAAACAGAGAAAACAGCAGAAGTAAATGTGATCATGAAGATCTTATACTAGCTCTGGTGAGTTGTCGAACGGGATGAAGTTTGTTCTCATAGCATTGTTTCAATGGCAGGCTTGGTATTTTCATTGGAAAATTTCGAGCCGGAGCAAGTCGTCGACCCAGTGTTGGCATTTCTCGTTAATCTTCGAGTTATTGCATCATCACTACTATGCTGCACTCAGTAGGAGCCAGGTCGCCCTTGAGGTTAAATACAGTAAACAACGGTCGTTGTTGCAGCTATCAGGCTGCTGAGTAATTGCTCATTCTATTTCCTTCTCTCGATATTGTTACTCATTTAGTCATATATACTGATCTCGTTCCTACTCGGTTCGTGTGTGTCATGAGGTAACTCCGTTACTCACGACTTACTGATTATCATACTATAGCGCATAATCTGTGCGACGATTGCCTGCAGAGTATCTGATTCTATTCATGTTGAGTTGTCCTAGAGATGGGAGAGCGGATGGAGTTTTGGAGTTTCATGACTGCGGTTAATATCAATCTTTGTTCCCTTGCGTGAACATCATTCAACGTTATCTGGAGAGATGTGAGGAAAGGTGTCAGGGCTTTATCTAGACCTTTTCATTGACGCACTTGCACTTAGCCCTCCATTTCATCGTGCACTCGCCGAGTGCCACTCGGCGAGTCACTGAGTGCCATTAACGAGCGAAACATTGATCCCTGGGCAGTACAGAAATTAAAGTCGTAATCGTGGAAAATTATTAAGTTTGTATCATAACTAATG